TCCTACACTTTTTGAGAAAACCTCAAATTACTATGTCAAAAATGTCACAGCGCCATGCTTGGACAAGCCCTAAAGGTCATTTTTCTCAGCCGTTCGTATGGTCCTCATGAATACTTATTATTCTTTTTGTAGAACTAATCTTCCTCTACAGGACGTGCATAGAACAAATAACAATTGAGGGCCGTAACAGGCCAGAAAATGGACCCAAAATGATAACGTCTATCCCATAATTTTTCTTTTAATTTTTGCGCTTCGTTCAAGTGTTTTTGAACAAAAGAAGTATTATGTTGATAATCTACATAAAATTTTACATCGATCTAGACACTTGGTGTCTGTTGAGGAACTTGATTTTAGGATCGAGAAATTTTGACTTTCGAATTCTCAGAGCAGAAGCGGCTTAAAGTCTGTTAGTCCCGTCCGTTTCATTAAGCAGTGAAAAATTATCTGCATCTTAAAAGTATCTACGATTGTAGAACTCGAAACAAATTACAAGGCGCGGTGTTCGAAACTTTCTGAACATGAACATATTTTCTCTTCTTTTATTTATATTTGTTCATTTTCATTGGCCCATTTTTCGTTGCTCAATCTCACCCTTGCTTTGAGAATTTTGAATCTTTTTGTTCTATAAAGCGTTCCGCTGCATGTTTCGTATTCGTAATGAAAATAATAAAGTCACAAGTCAACAAAACGATTGTGATAAATATCGCGCAGTAATCGTTCGATTTTATTCAAGATCTATTCGACAATTAGTGTTAGCATCATTGGACAAATTGAGAGGTAAAAATTTGGGTGTTACAGTCGTTGAGGATTTAACAAAAAATGCATTGGAAGTCTATTGTCGCGAACGTGCCAAATTGGAAGGTAATGAAAAGAAAAAGGTACTAGCAAGAAATGGTCGAGTCTATGTTCGTCAACATGATAATAATTTAACGTTAATATCTGAATAGTAGTAAGTTTGGTATAACTCTAGAGATTGTTACATCTCGGAAGAATAGATCCTTTTTTTTGAGGCAGAAGACTTGTGTATCTACTTCTTTTTGTTATTGTTTAACATGATTATTCTATCCCCATTTCCCAGGCAAATAAAAAGTATCGAGTATTGGGCAATCCTACCTAGATAACCCAATCCAATACCCAATATACCTAGATACAAGTAAAAAGAAAGTATTGAGTATTGGGCAATCCAAGCTAGCTAACCC